GGGAGATTTATTGATTAAAAGAAAGTTCATGCTGAAAATGGAACATTATTTAAGCTGGAGAGAGGATAATTAATATACATAAGATACAGAAATACCTTGTGTTATCTCATTGATAGATTGCCTATTATTGTAGCCTTTCTGTGCATTACTATAATCTGCATTAGAAAATTAAAATATTGACCTTTTATAGCAAAAATTGGCATCTTTCAGTTATGCGTGTGGCATGTGAGAGAACCCTGTAAATACTGATAGAAACTGGGAAAGAATAAAAAGAAATTGAAATCTCTCATTGCCAATACACTGTTAAACATGTTTAATATCGTGTCAGCTTTGTGGCCCACAGTGACACTATCTACATCTGTATATACACTATGATTACGCATGAAACTATCCACATTGAGAATGAATGCCATTAGATGTCCTTAATTATGTTGAGTCCAAATATTACTAAACCAAGGACTGTTCTGGTAATGTGATTTAGTGTTTCACAGGAACATGTGGAGTCCATTTATTTTTCTGTGAGTGGGGAGTAAGATAATCAATCGGTTTAAATACATTTGTTTAGAGTGCAGTGTACAGGAATTTGCCACAAAGCAGTGCAGAGACTGTGGCTCACAGCTAAAAGGTGCTGTATGTCTTGATCCCTTCATTGTTGCTTTTTCTGTGCTATAGAGAAATTACACCACCTTTGCACTGATGTAGGGTTCACGCCTCTGTATGTGTGTGTTATGTGCATGTTTTTGCTATGCTGCCCTGAGCCCCTTAGCCAACGTGATTCCCCTGCCTCAGCCTCCCATGTAGCTGAGGGAAAAGGCCTGTACCACCACACCTGGCTGGGCCTTGGAATGGCTAGTCTTACTGATTTTTTTTTTTTCTTGGAAAATCAAATAAATAATAGATGGGAATGCACTTTGATTCTGGCGATGATCTCAAGAAGCTGCTTAGAGCAAGCTAGACCCGGGAGATGGCTCAGTGGCCTAAGTGCCTGCCTGGCAAACACAAGATCCTGAGTTCAATCCCCAGTACCAAAAAAAAAGGGCGATCACCTGTTATTGAAGCATGAATGTAAGCTTGTGAAAGTAAGGACTGCCACCCCGCACAGTGCTGCGCATGCAGCAGATGGCAGGTGGAAGTGTGCTGTGTGAATGTGCATTGGGAGTCAGGAAGACCAGGGCACTGGTGTGCGAGTGAAAGCTGACTTCCACAGTGTTCACCAGCAAGGTGACATGATGAACATGACAGAGGGCATTTAGTCTTTACCTGGGAGTAATGACTGAGTAGAGAAGCTGGTGGTATAGTATTCCATTCGGTTCTCTTCAGTTGAAGAGGTAATGCAGTTCAGTCATGTGCTTATTGTTTTAAGGCTACAAAATAAATTGCTCAAAGCTGAGATTTTAGTAAAATGCCAGAGATCAAACTACAGGAAAATTTAAGCACTTAAATATATGTCTTGACTATATCAATATTTTCTATTTTTCAGTCCTTAATTTAACCTCTTGATAAGTGCCTTCAATACTTTCACCAGTGTTGTAGTCAGTCCTTTGTGTCCACATCAGATATGTATTTGTAGCCTCTCCATAGTAAATAATAAACTTTCATAGAAAACAAAAATTAAGCACTTTGACTTATTCAGTGTGTTATATGTTTTCCCTTAACTTGAAAGTATAACTTATTTAGCAATAACATCTGCATAGTTATGCAGATAGACAGTCACCCAGATTAACTCTATTCTAGTTCCCAGTAAAGTATGTGGAAGAAAAAATGAAAAATAAAAAGTTTCTTTCACTGAAAAGTGTACCAAATATATAGCCTACTAATGAAATCTAGGAAGAATTTTGGAGCATAAAGTCAATTGTAGGGGGAAAAAATGGTGTGATACTCATACAAAAAGAGAAAGACATATTTGTCTCATATCCCAGTCAGAAAATGTGACACCTGCCAACAATTCAAGATTTGAGAGAACCGAGCAGGGAGAGCAGATCCTACTGAAATCCCAAGTCATGCTAGTAAATGCTCACTAAATGCCCTGCTCTACAGTAGTGGCTGTTAGTATGCTTTTTAGCTGTAGAGGTAAGGGAGTTTTCACTAGTAGCCAGATGTCCGAGAGCAGGCCCAAGGGCAGTGCACTTTCCTATTGAGCAGTAGGGCCAGATCTCACTGGGTTATCCTTAGAAGTGCACATGGCGCCTATGAGTAGTCCTGGGAACAAGGGGAGGAGAGCTTCCTTCTGCACAGTTCCTACCATCATACAAACTTGCTGTTTATTCTTGGGGGAATAAAAAAAAACCCAAACGCCTATTTTCCTCACTTGCCCTGTCAGCTTTGACCCCATATTTGTTCTCTTACAGTAACGAGCCTTGAAAATGTGGCCGTACTTGCTCTCGGCATTTCTCTTGTGCACATTCTCTGAAACCTGTCGTGTCTTGCCTGTACCACTGGGCCTGCTCTTGCGACAGCCATCCATGTGCTGCACCTCTGCCTTGCTAAGCCCCACGGGCCCTGTCCTCCTCCTGCACTCCAGCACTTGATGCAGTAGGACCCCGTAACACATACTGTTGGGACTT